CCAGTGAGGTCCGAAGGTGTGAGAGACCACTTGTGAAAATGCCTCTATTTTGCTTTTTTTTTTTTTTTATTGTAGAACGAAAATAAAAACGAATCAGAATTTGATGGCAACAAAAATTGAGAGCATACCGCTCAAGTCTGCACGTTTGTACAAATCAGTATGATGTGAAAATGTTTGTATCAATTAAAGCAAGGAAATCTGACCTTTGTAGAAAGGAGTTAAAATGGTCAACATCGAAATTTGTTCATTGGTGACCTAGAAATAGTCAAGCATTTTGTTGAAAATCACTAAAGTGCTCTCAGACTTTTGGACTCCACAGAGGAAATTCTGCTGGGAGACATTAAGACTGATTGAAATGAGTGCATGAAATGAGCAGAAAAAGCATGCGCTGTTCTTCTAAGCGACAGCGAGCATATATCATCTGACAATTGAGCTTAAATTTTATTTAACTGCTTTGAATCAATAGTTGTCCATGTTGGTTTAGGGGAAGATTTATAGTGGAATTACTGGCAATAATACGAAACCACAGGACACAACTTGTATTTCTCTCTCTTTTGGGGTCTGCCGCGTCTCTCCCTCTCTCTTTTCTCTGTTTGAAAATGCGTTCATGCTAACTAATCGCGATGACCTCATCCTCTCCTTGAAATCTGTTTCCATGCCAAGCTTATTTTTGAAACACCAAACAGTGTTTATTGAGTCTGCAGTCGCATTTGTGGTCCGGTACCTGCTAGCGGGAAAATAATGCCAATGATTACCAAAAAAAGCAAGCAATTATGTATGAACGACCAGCCGGTGATTGTTTTTAGAGGAGCACAAATTAGCCACCATCCTCACAAGCTCTTATTCGTGAAGTACCATTTTGCACTATATGATTAAACTGCATTTTTCTCATAAGCATTGTCTGAAATATTTATGAGCGACAGAGTTCATGGGTTTGTCTTTTAGGATTTGGCTTTGTGTTGCCAGAACTCATGCTTCTCATTTGCATCTAAAAGAGTATTTTAGCTAATTAATAATGCATTGTTCCTGTGTATACCCCCTTTGCTCCTAAGACAGAGTTGTTTATCTTGTTTATCTGCAGGCTATTGCATTGCAAATTCTCTTTAAGCAGGCTGGATGTTTCAGAGTTACCCCAAGGAGGGTGTTGCATTGATTTTTCACATCAGAGTGTGTTATAGCCACCCTTTGCTATGGGTTTTGAATAAAACGTCTGCTGTTTTGCATTGTCAGCTCCAGTCAAAGCGCAGATGAGCAGAAAGACAACACCACAGTTTTCACCAGGATTCTGGACAGCCTCCTCGATGGCTACGACAACCGTCTCAGGCCTGGGCTTGGAGGTACGCGCAGAGAAGTTTCTCTGATGATTTCTCGCCTCGTACATTTGTGTCCCAGTTTTTTAGCCCTGTGGGAGATTTCTAAACTTACATCTTCAAACGGATGTAACAGTACTTTTTCTCGTCAAAATCAGCAATCAGCAACCAATAATGTTCCAATCGTTTTTTGTTCAGAAATAGGTTTATTAAGGAGTTCAGTATAAACTGTGTGTGTGTGTGTGTGTGCGTGCGTGCGTGTGTGAGAGAGAGAGAGACTATAACAAACATACCATTACAAACATACTATTACAATATGGATATTATGTTAGTTACATGACATAGTTAAGGTAGTTGTATTATCTAATGTAACAATGTAACATCTTTAATTTACAAATAGGTTGATTTGAAACATACAGTATCTTGCATTAATTGCAACTGAATGAGTTTAATGTAAAGGTACAAAATGGAAAGAAGATCAAAAATGTCCTCAATGCATATAATAATTTAGTGTTTTGAAACAATGATTATGTGGACTGATGATATACATAACTGTAATGAAAGTATGTGTTCAGGTTTGGGAAGAATGATCAGCAAGTGTGATCAGTTTGGATTTTTGTATAAAGAGTTTTGAAAATGTTCACCTTACATAACAGAACTAAAATAGTGCAATTTGCTAAACATGTTACAATAATCTAGTGTTATGAAACAATCGTAGAAAGAAATTATGTATCACTGTAATGAACGCAAGAGATCAGATGTTGAAAGAAGTTTTGAAAGTATAGTCACTGAACGACATTAAATGCAAAAGCATGCCTCATCAAAAATGTGATGAAGGCGATGGTGGAAAGCAGTTTTGTTATGAACAAAGCACATCTACCAAACACTGTTTTCCACATAAATGCAGATCATTTAACACCTGACATAAATTAGCTTTGAACCGAACTGAATGATTCATTGAGTTGGCAAGGAACTCCTCACACATGCGGCATATAATTTTTAATTTTCAGCGCGTTTGTTTGACCTTACTTGCATTACCTTAGCGCCCACAAAGTGACAACATGTCATAAATAACAAGTGAAGCTGACTAACAACTTCTGTCAACATCAGTCATCGTTCCATGGCACATAGACATGCTGTTTTTCGTCGAGGCAAGAAAGTAAGGTGCATTTCCACATAAACGACACCCAAGTATTTATAGGTTATAGTGAGGTTTGCTTGATGTGATTTGAAATTTGAATGCTTTGTGAAAAGAAAAGAAAATGGTATCATGACCAACACTGATTGATACTCAAACTCCTAATTTCTTGCTTCAACAGAGCGTGTAACCGAAGTCAAGACTGACATTTTCGTGACGAGTATTGGGCCGGTCTCGGACCACGACATGGTAAAACTTTTTACTTTCTATAAATGTCACATGCTTTCTGTGTAGCCACTGTTCAGAAGAGTCGTTTACATGCTTAAATGTTTTGTTACCAAACTGAAAAGCTTGAAATGTGGTTATTTAATCATAAATGTGAAAACCAGATCCAATATTCAATGAGAGTGGAAGTAAACTTGAAAATGTGACTAATTTATTATAACACCAGAACACATGTTTTAATTACTTCTTTACATAATAAAAAAAAATAAATGTTAGGACACTTCAATGACTTAAAAAAAAAAAAAAAAAAGTCTTGGAATACATAAAATACCAAGTGATATTTATTTATGATTTAGATTTAAGCAATCGACACCTGTCAAACATAAATAAAATATTTTAAACCATAAATGAGAAAAACATAAAATGACACTTGTTTGTTCAAGCATTAATAAAACATGTTCATAATTCTTGTGATGAACCTTGTAAACTTGAGGTGAACATCTATAAAAACTACCTTGACAATGTAAAAATGACGGGAAAAGTAGTTATTTCTGCATAAAGCTCTAGCATTATTTGTTTGCAGATGCCACCTAGTGTGATATATAGTGAAACGACATATTATTAAGTATATCTTTCATGATCTTTTCAGAGCCACTGTATATACTTGATTAGGGAAATGTACTCTTTTAATATTTTTTCATAACATAACTGCGTATCCTGCAGAATATCAGATACTGACTGGATCGAATCACATTTCTCCTGCCAAACATAAGTTATGAAGCAACTCTACATATTATCCAAGCATGCCTGTAAATCAAGTCTTCTAATTTCATAAAGCCAGTTAAAAATGCTGTAGCTATGTTAGCTCTCTTTTTTGCTTTACATCTGATTCGCTCAGTTATGCGACTCTACATCTGGCTGTATCTGTGTCATAATGGATGATCATGCGAAAATGCTCGCAGCTATGACGATCAGTAGTTGTTAGAATGATTCATGCCGCTAATTATGGCCACCGATGCTTCAGAAAGCTCATGGCTCCTCTTGACGACTGCAGTTTTACTGAAATCACTGCACAAAAGCTACTCGATAACTACAAGTCTCAATTAAAATCCTCAAAGCAATTGAGGATGAATGAAAAAGGAGCTTATTTTGTTTTATTTGGAGCTTGACAGCACCTGGTAACTATGACCTATAAGTCTATCACAAGAGTGTAACGTTTTTATATATATATATATATATATATACTATAACACATTTTTAGTAAACAAGCTAAAACTAAACTCTCGGAAAAAAAAGGTGCAAAAGTTTTTTTTTTGTTTTTTTTCAAAAGGCACACCTTTGTACCTAAACAGTCCATATTTGTACCTTAAAGGTACATATTAGCACCTAAAATGTACAAAAGGTACAAAAGTGGTCCTTTTGAAAAGTGACAACTTTTGTACCTTTTTTTCTGAGAGTGTACACTTAAATTTAAACTGAATTTGAATTTTAATTTTTAGCATTTCTCCATGCATGGGATGAGAAAACGATGTGTTATCGGTGGTCTTGCAGGAGTACACCATCGATGTGTTCTTCAGGCAGAGCTGGAAGGACGAGAGGCTGAAGTTCAAAGGTCCCATGGCTGTGCTCCGTCTCAACAATCTCATGGCCAGCAAAATCTGGACCCCCGACACGTTTTTCCACAACGGAAAGAAGTCAGTCGCCCATAACATGACCATGCCTAACAAACTGCTGCGGATCACAGAGGAAGGAACTCTGCTTTACACCATGAGGTGAAGCTGCTGCTTATTTTCCTCAGAAAATAATCACCTTTTCATGTAATTTCCTTTTAATGTTGGTGTTTGATCTGAAGCGATCTGGGTCTCTCTCAGCATAGAAATATATTCTTTTTTTTTTTTTTTTATAAACGTATTAGTCTATAAATGTATATTTTGGATTGCTAGTGTCATTTTATATTTGGCTGTGTCATAAATAACATGGACCTCAGTCTCTCAGGGGACTAACGCACAGTCGCACACATCAGGACAACACATGTTATAAAGCATCCTTTAGTCTACTTAATTAGTAGATTATGATGGAAGTTCATATTTGTGTCAACAAATAGGGGGTCGACATTTACTGATTTATCATGCTGTCAGAGAACTGAGCAGTAGTAATTCCTGTGTAAAATGGGCGGTCTGACCAGTGCATAATAAACCATATAAGTGGTTGCATAGGTCCCCATATGCCAGCGGTTCAGACAGTAATGCATGGTAATAATAGCTTTGATGAAGTTTGCTTGTGTCAGTCATGGTGCATAGAAGAGGAAAAGATGTTATTGGTTTAATTCTGAATTCACGAGTGCTTTGAAGACGCTGTGTCAATGAAACAGCGGTGCACTGTGTTATCGTGGGCACTTCAAGATAGGTTAATAATTCTGGATACCTTATTGTCTGAATTGTTTGGATTTTTAATAAGCACATTAGCTTAACTTCCACTGACCAGTTACATTTTACAACACTGCATGTTTGCTGTGGGTCTGAGCAAAATCAGGGCTGAATAGAAATGCAAGTTCACTCTCTGACAGTAGGTGGCGCTTATGGAACAGAAGGAATACTGTGGTAACCATGGTTACTGCTGTACACAAACTTTATTTTTCTGACATCTGCTTGTGATGGACAAGAAAGGAAGTCACAACAGTATTTAAATGTTTTCAAACAGGTATTCAGTATTGTATTCACTTCGGCGTTTATCAAGCAACACCAAATACTTTTGTTTACCCTTGTACATTTTTGGATTTTAATCTGGACTAAAACATGCCAGATTATTTTTCTATTATTAATAATAATGATATGCTCTATTGTAATTTTTATAAACCACTGGCAGGTGTTTTTGCTTTATTAAAGTAGCAATCTCACTAAATTTTGATAACTTTCTCTGAAAGCGATGGTTGAACTTTAAAAATGTTTAAAGTTTACTTGATAAGTAAATATATCCTCATATTAAAGATTAAAGATAATATTAAAGATAATTAAAGATAATTATACTAAGACCATCTGGTAAAACCTTACAGTTAGGTGTCAGTGTAGGATGTATATACTGGTTAGGTGAAATGGTAGGGAGTGGTAGGGAATAAATAGTAATGTGATGCCATACTTTTAAAATGAGTTTTCAGTGAAGTTTCGAAATTCTTTGCTTGAGGAAACATGACAATATACAGTTAAAATGTTTCATATTTTTGCGCTTGGGCGAGTAATTTGCAGACTGATTTCCTAAATGCACGTGAAATCACCAACATGCCAACAAACCAATGAGAACGCAGAACAATAATGACAATTCATAGCAAGAGAGCGCAGAAGCCAAAACTGATGTGGATCCACTCATCTGAATCCCTCTGGAACTGTCTCAGATTCGCAGAAAATCGCAGTTGTTTGGCAAATAAATAATTTACAGACCGTTACATATGCATTCCCAACATTTTAATTATGCAATTTCAATGTTACACCTCAAATGACAAGGGACTGTTCATATTTACCCTCAGATGGCTTCAGTATGCATAGTATTTAGATAATATAGCAAATTTAATGCTATAATAAACACAAATGTGACCCTGGACCACAAAATATATTATATTTGTATATTTGTACAATACATTGTATGGGTCAAAATTATCAATTTTTCTTTTATGCCAAAAATCATTAGGATATTAAATAAATATCATGTTCCATGAAGATATTTTGTAAATTTCCTACCATAAATATATCAAAACTTAATTTTTGTTTAGTAATATGCATTGCTAAGAACTTCATTTGGACAACTTTAAAGATGATTTTCTCAATATTTAGATTTTTTGCACCCTCAGATTCTCAGTTGTATCTCGGCCAAATATTGTCCTATCCTAACAAACCATACATCAATGGAAACTTATATATTCAGATGATGCATCAATCCCAATTTCAAAAAATTGACCCTTATGACTGGTTTTGTGATCAAGGGTCACAAATGGTAAAATGTATGGTTACATCTTTAAATTCAGAATGGGCGAGCAGCAACAGCACATCAGTGGAGTTCCATATTAATGCATTGCTTTACACCGCTTAATAACAATTATATACAAATACATGTATCCTCGTCCAAATGTATCAGTGGGGTGGGGGTTAATTAACAGTCAAAACTATAATATTGTATCACGCTTTCTCTCTGTCTGTCTCAGGCTTACAGTCAGAGCTGAATGTCCGATGCATTTGGAGGACTTCCCAATGGACGCCCATGCATGCCCTCTCAAATTCGGCAGCTGTAAGTACTGCGTCATTTTACAAGCTTCGGTTGAAAGTTCACATATTACTGCGAGTCTCCAGGCTGAGTAGTGTGAGCAGATGGGGACTCTCTCTTAGGCCCACAGAGCGTAGAGATCATCTCTGACACAACACGTCACACACCCGCATCCACTCAGCCAGCCGAACGGATTTAGCGAGCTCTACCCCGACCCAACTAATCCTCGCAGAGAAAGAACAGATGCGTCTGCGCTGGAGGAAGAGTGAGGGGGGGAAGACACATGAATAAAAAACAAGCTTGTGACTCAAAGCCACGAGGCTCTAAATATTTCAGCGTGTGCTGCGTCTCCGATGTGCTTGAGAGTCCGCTGCAGTATATACGGCTGACAAGTGACGCTTGATTCTGTGTGTTGTTTGTTTGCGTCAGATGCCTACACGAGGGCTGAGGTGGTGTACGTTTGGACGCGAGGGGCAGCGCAGTCTGTGGTCGTGGCTGACGACGGCTCTCGGCTCAACCAGTATGACTTGATGGGACAGACGGTCGACTCGGGTGTGGTGCAGTCCAGCACTGGTGCGTGGTTCCACCTTCTGATGTTTAGAAATGAAGCCTATGGTTATGTTTTAGTAAGTTTAGCCAAAGTAGCAATATATGTGACCCTGGAGCACAAAAGCAGTCTTAAGTCGCTGGGGTATATTTGTAGCAATAGCCAACAATACACTGTATGGGTCAAAATTATTGATTTTTCTTTTATGCCAAAAATCATTAGGACATTAAGTAAAGATCATGTTCCATAAAGATATTTTGTACATTTCCTACTGTAAATATATCAAAACTTAATTTTGGATTAGTAATATGCATTGCTAATAACTTCATTTGGACAACTTTAAAGGCAATTTTCTCAATATTTAGATTTTTTGCACCCTCAGATGTACAGTTGTATCTCGGCCAAATATTGTTCTATTCGTGAAATCACCAACATGCCAACAAACCAATGAGAATGCAGAACAATAATGACAATTCATAGCAAGAGAGCGCAGACGCCAAAGCTGATGTGGATCCTCTCATCTGAATCCCTCTGGAACTGTCTCAGATTCGCAGAAAATTGCAGTTGTTTGGCAAATAAATAATTTACAGACAGTTACATATGCATTCCCAACATTTTAATTATGCAATCTCAATATTACACCTCAAATGACAAGGGAATGTTGATATGACTGGATGTTCATTTGACTTGACTTGATGTTTTAGTAAGTTTAGCAAGGTAGCATGCTCCAGGTTTAATAATATCCCTTGTGGATGTGCAAATTATTATTCTGCTCCCTCTTTTATTGGCCAACTACACAGGTACTGTAACAAAAGGATCCAAAGTGGGTGACATTTTCATTGGACTACCTCTCTTTTCAGTAATATGATTTGGTGGATCTAGTTATCATCAGTCAGTAAACTCTTTCAATGACAATATTTTGACGGATTGATGTTTTAACCTTCTTTGTGTCAGAAAAAAAACATTATGGTAGTGTACTATTCACTCAAATTATTAGGATGTTACTATAATTTGTGATGAAAGATTTTTGTATTAAATATTTTATTTATTTAATATTTTCCTTAATTTCACTTGTGGTTTCAGGCTTCTGGACCCACATTGTGCAGTTTTTTGTTTTTTAAATGCAGTTTACTGAAAGCTAATTCAGACTACAACACAAATTCTACTTTGCTTTTCAAGAAGTACAATACTGAAATGTGAAAAAGAGCATCATAGAGCATGTTCTATTTGAAGCACCATATTTGCATATAAACCATCTGATAAACATCAGATTCATATGCATTCTAAATCATGAGCATCTCCTGAATTGCTCTAAAATCAACTAAGAATGATTTTGTAGCATTTTGCACATGCTCTAAATATCCCATCTTCCAGATGAAAACACATATGAGACATATGAGCACTATATGCTTATTTGTTCCCATGTGGGAAATGCAGGTGCAGAATATCAGACATAAAGCGCATAAATTCCATGATGTTTTCCATACACGTGAATATAGACAAAAAAGGTGCAGTGCAGTGATTAATGAATAATGCATGATCTGCCATAATAATATATGCATACTGTATAAGCAGTATTATATGCTTTAAAGAAATAGTAAATTACATAACTACATGATATCTGTTCAGATATATTATAGTTAATCTTGCATATCAGTATTTGCAGAGAAAAGTCCCTAAATGAAGATACTTCAACGATACTGTTGTATAGACGTTGAGTAATCTTTGCATAGGCAGAAAGTAGTTTTAGAAAACAGGTTTGTATGTGTTGACTCATTCATTCTGTGCCGCTGCTGTCGTACATACGGGTTAGGGAGCATGAACCATGGTAAATTAACATGTTTAAGTGACTGTCCTAATTAATATACGCATTAATTAATGTATATTAAAAAAATCTCTTTCTCTTTCACTTCCAGGAGAGTATGTTGTCATGAAAACACATTTCCACCTCAAAAGGAAGATCGGTTACTTTGTCATCCAGACATATTTGCCGTGCATCATGACTGTGATCCTGTCCCAGGTGTCTTTCTGGCTCAACAGGGAATCTGTCCCCGCCAGAACTGTGTTTGGTGAGTGTCCTAATTGATCTTTAAGTTAAGCAATCAATGAGCTGTTAGCGTCACTCTGCAGCAGCTCTTTCCCAGCATCTTCAAAGCGAGCGAGCTGTTGTATTGTCTAGGTCTATGCTTTCTAAAGCAGCATCCTATCTGAAATGCAATCTCATAAATGATTGATCTGGAATAATCTTCCTCCATGCATCACACAAACACGGTTCCTCATGAAACATACAGTACTGTACACACAAGACCAGAGAGTTTGATGTTAGCGTGTAGCAAAGACATGTAGCAAAATGTCCAGCGTTTCTCATCAACTCATGCCTGTGATGCTGCCTTAGAATTTGGCCAAAAAACAAATCTTTGTAATCATGCAAAGTACGGTAACACTTTTGTTTAGGCACCAATTCTCACTATTAACTAGTTGCTTATTAGCATGCATATTACTAGTATATTGGCTGTTTATTAGTACTTATAAAGCACATATCAATGTCTTATTCTGCATGAGCATATTTTAGATCCCTGAACTACCTTACTAACTATTAATAAGCAGCAAATTAGGAGTTTATTGAGGCAAAAGTTGTAGTTAATAGTTAATAGTGAGAATTGGTCTCCAAACTAAGGTGTGACCCAAAGGACAAGCTGGAATATCAAGCTTAATTGTTAAGGGTGTGAAGCAAAGCCACTATTTGTATTTGGGTCTGAATCTGTAGCAATGGCAAAATTATTTAATAATTCATAAATGTATTGTTTTATTATAAAATATTTGCAAAAGGTAATTTGTGTGTGGGATAGACATGTCCCCACTAGGGTTGCAAAGGGGTGGAACATTTCTGGTAAATTTCCAAAAATCCCTGGAATATTCCAAAAAATCCTGGGAAGTTTCCAAAATGTCTGGAATATTTCCGAAATTCACTGGAAATTTTCCACCTTTTTGCAACCCTAGTCCCCACCACGTTTTGAAAGCCATTGAGAAAATAACTTGAACCCATGTCCAACCCTGAACCCTGAACTACCTTACTAACTATTAATAAGCAGCAAATTAGGAGTTTATTGAGGCAAAAGTTGTAGTTAATAGTTAATAGTGAGAATTGGTCTCCAAACTAAGGTGTGACCCAAAGGACAAGCTGGAATATCAAGCTTAATTGTTAAGGGTGTGAAGCAAAGCCACTATTTGTATTTGGGTCTGAATCTGTAGCAATGGCAAAATTATTTAATAATTCATAAATGTATTGTTTTATTATAAAATATTTGCAAAAGGTAATTTGTGTGTGGGATAGACATGTCCCCACTAGGGTTGCAAAGGGGTGGAACATTTCTGGTAAATTTCCAAAAATCCCTGGAATATTCCAAAAAATCCTGGGAAGTTTCCAAAATGTCTGGAATATTTCCGAAATTCACTGGAAATTTTCCACCTTTTTGCAACCCTAGTCCCCACCACGTTTTGAAAGCCATTGAGAAAATAACTTGAACCCATGTCCAACAAACAGACAAGCCCCAATCCTTCATTTACTCATAATTTTATTCATACGTGTTACACAAAACACATTTGCTCCAGACTCGTTCAGTGGTCGAGTGATCTGCCAGTTTAAACAGATTCGATGACAGCTGCTGTACTGTACAACTGCGTGAATTGACACTGAGCATGTCCTAATATGTACACCTTAACAAACGAGGCTTCTACTTGCATATGTGACCATGGACCACAAAACAAGTCATAAGTGTCCATTTTGTGAAACTGAGATTTATACATCATCTGAAAGCTGATAATGAAGGGGGTGGTCTAATGCTAGGGTCACAAATCTCTATGCTTCTAGCCAACATTTCAGCACAGCCCTTGTAGGAAATCAGTGTGAAATGTTTCTGGTTGCCATGACAAAATTCACACATTTCAGAACAAGTCTTTTTGCTCATTTTCACTCATAGAGTTTACACTCGTTTGCTTTACACATTCACTATTGCGTTGATACTTCAAAAATATTGTGCTGTCGCCTGCCTCACCTGCTATCCAACAAGCACAAGGAGTGACTTCATATACTGCATATTCATATATGAATGCGTTATTTGTTTAGAAGTCATCATCCAAGCCTTTCTGATTAAGGTATTCAGCTTCAGGCACATCCCGGAAATCCTTTGTACGATATCTAGGTCGGCAGGATTTGGAACAGAACAGGATTCGAGGATCTTGCTCAAATTTAGCAAACATCAAAATTTTTTTTTTCTTATTTGGTCTTAAAAAGTTATTCATTTTCAGTTGCTAGTGCTTTTTTAGGAGAAGCATGCAAACTGCAAAATCATAAATTCTTAATTTGACTGTGAGCACAACAGTATTCACTGTGGTTTTTCTTTTCATAAAAGGGGGGGGGGGCGGTGTTACCACCTGTTTTAACACCCACCCCTCACAAATTGCACGCTGGTTATAACCCTTTGCTTTAGAAACAACATTTTTAGTTCACCTGATTAATCTTCTCACATTGATCACATTCAATATCTTACATTAGCCCATTATTGGAGACACCGTTTTAAAATGTAATGTATTCCTTTTTTTTTTCGCTTTCTCAAAATTGGTTTAGATGATCACTGGACCAAGCCGCACAGAAATGAGTGCACATAAATTTCATATTAATGTCTGTTCACTATGTCGAGCCAAACTTGGATGAGAGGCTCTATCTCAACAACTCTTCAATCTATCAAAACAAAACATCTCCATTACATGTAACCCTGAGTAGAGAACGAGAAGCTGCGTCAGTACACTCTTAAAAATAAAGGTGCTTCACGATGCCATAGAAGAACCTTTTTGTCTAAATGGTTCCATAAAGAACCTTTAACATCTGAAGAACCTTTCTGTTACAATTATTTATAAGCTTTTTTTTTCCTTCTTGGGCCTGAAATGGAGGAATTTTGGTCAATATTGATAATTAAACAATATTTTGCTAAATGTGCTTTTGTGCTGAAAACTTGGCTAGTTTAGGCATGGATAAATAATGATGACAATAAAACCACCAGTAGGTGGCAGCAAGCCCCTGTTTTGATAAATGATTTATTGAATCGTTCAAATCAAACGATTCGTTCAAAACAGCTGATTCAATTAGAAACGTAACAAGCCTGCGTCCCAATGTGCATACTATCCATCTTAAATTCTATGTGATATTAGTAATTTTCAATACTATTTAGGGCAGATAGGCTGGATAATATGTACATTGGGATGCAGGGAAAGTGTCTCTGATTCACTTGATTCATTCAAAAACTGATTCATTCAAGGAACGAAACACCGTGTTACTATGCACTATTGTATAAAATGAATAGCACATTTGTGCTCGCACATGTAGGCCTACTGATATTCAGAAAAGTACATTGCTTGTGCAATTAATATAAAAACTCATACATGGGTATTTTTTCTTTAATTGCTTGAATTATAAGGTTATTTTAACCTGTAAGCTTCATCGCGCATGCATTTGGACTCTCAAGGCGTGTTTTTGTTTGGTTTTTGCAAGGTCGATGACTCGATAATGTCAGCTCTCCTATCATCTCTCAATCCCTCACAGTTACACATACAGCACAATAACAGTATGTCAGGGGAATGTTTTTAAATTCTAATGAAGGAAAAATCATACCTTTTCTGTTGTCTTCTTTTTAAAGAAATTCAAAAGTTGCGCTTGAACCATTTTGCGCGAAAAATGACGAAAACTTGCTTCCGCTTGTGTGCAGCTTGTTACAGAACCGAGTTCTGATTGGCCAATCGCCGTTATTCGTGAATTATCTTAAGTAGATCATTTTAACATTTCATTTGCATGATAAGTTTTACATAATACACATTATTAATCCAAAGGGGATGGTAAGGGGGGATGGTGGTTTTACTGAGGGGATGCTTTTTGTAATTTTTTTCAACCATGGGGATGTCATCCCCCCGCATCCCCCCTCAAATTGAGCCCTGATTGTAGAACCAAAAATGGTTCTTCTATGGCATCACTGTGAAGAACCTTTTAAACTCCTTTATTTTAAAGAGTGTAGCTGACACTATAGAAACCCTCCAGACCAAGGCCAAGAACCAAACCTTCTTAAGAGTCAAAATTATCTCCAAACCTGACTCCAACAGTTCAGATGGAGGCCCTGTTAAACCTTCTAGTCCTGTGACGGAACACAAGCATATTGGAAAGGTCTCAGTCGTCTCGTCTTACATGAAACAAGGAACAAGTGTTTCCCTCCCCAAAGCAACACCATCAGTTGGTGCATGTTTCGTAGCAACTCTGGACATCCACCTTAAAGGGGACATAACACACACAATTTCACCCAATCTCATGTTAATCTTGAGTACCTATAGAGTATAGCATCCTTCATATCTCCAAAGAGTCTTTAGTTTGATCAGATTTATAAAAGAAAGATACAGCTTTACGATTCTCTCCGAAAACAGCCGATCTCCTGGAGATAAAGAGTCACGAGCACTTGAGTGCCGATTGCCAACAAAACAGAAATTTGATACAGTTCCAAATCAGGCCTAATGGAAGAACTGGAACTGGTGAACTTCGTCCCCAAATGCAAATCCTAGTATCATGTACAAACCACCATAGAGCAGAATCAGCCAAGGAGCAATTGCCAAATTTTGATAGCCTGAAGCATCAAATCGGTCCATGCATCCTGAACACTCGTGGAGGAAGAGTGTCATCTGCCCACTGCCAAACTCCTCAGATTACAAAACGAAAGTAGAGAGACAGAACCATTCTGACGGGCCAAGCTTTCTCCATTCTCAAAAAGAAACAGCATTGTGTTCCACCTTAAAGGAACATAAACTCCACTTAAAGGGAGTTGCTGAAACACAATAAAACTCTGAAGACAGCATGGGCAGATAAACTGTTTTCCTGAAGAAAAGAGATCTGAGAAGTGTTGGCAACCAAGTGTTGGTTCTTTTGAGGCACTGATGGCGCCTTAATGCCATCAGCTAATGAACTAGGATAAAAATCTCATTGGGCTTCAGACCGTCATCACACCTGAAGGGTATTCCCATAATGTCAGCTTTA